CTCCTCATCCTCCTCCTCATCCTCCTCATGCGAATTCGTTTTAAGTTTCTTTGAAGGCGGACATTCGGGGTCAGGTTCTGGTGCTGGCTCGGGTTCGGGTTCAGGTTCTGGTGCTGCCTCGAGCTCAAGGTCTGGCCCGGGTTCAGGTTCTGGTGCTGGCACCTGCGGAGCAGTTTCAAACCCTGTGCCCTTTCGCCGCTTCTCGTAGTGCTGGTCTATTATTCTTCTCGCCTTGGCTTCGCATCCCTTTACCCAGCCGTGCGGAAAGTTCCGCTTAGTAACCCGGATTTCCGGATGAGCAGTGAGGAAGTCGCGGAGCTCTTGTTTACCCCATTCATTGTACCCTACTGGCGGAGACAACTCGGAATGTCGAGGATGACTTGGTTCCATTATACTACTATCGCCCTCGCTTCCAATATAGAATCCCGCTCGGACAAAAAAGTCGGGGTCACCGAACAAAAGATCGTGACGCCTACTTTCATGGACTCGGGAAGCGTGGATTGCTGCCCACAGATGGAGCCACCAGCAAAGAAGCCGCGGCTGCCGCACCCGAAGGGGGACCCTGAGGTAGCGGCGCAGAACAAAGAAATACAGGCGCAGCGCAAAGTGGCCGCCAGAAAAATAAGCAGACAAGCCGAGAGAAATGAAGCCCATATGCAAAAGTTCTCCCTTCCCATAGACGGCTTCTATCTTCACAAGCTTGATGAGTCTGTTGTCAAGGATGCAGTGGCTAGTTACCATAAGGTCAAGGAGGGGTTCGCGGAAAAGAAGAGGACAAATGGATGGACGACTTACTTCGGAACGGACACGACCGCGCAGGCAAAACGAAGTGGGCGATGGATGAACGCCAAACTTAAACTTAAGCTTTCTACACATGCAAATTTAAGCAACATCACAGGTACAGGTACGATGGGAGAGGTCGTATTGGCTACGGAGGAGAATGTTGACCAGCAGATAATGCATACAGACCATGAGGCCAAAAAAGGTAAGGAAGAAGAAATTGGGTTTATCGTCATCCCGGTCACAGAAGCAGGGACGAATTTATGCGTGTCTCGGGGATCACATAAAGTTGAATATTGTAAGAAAGAAGGGGACCAATGCATCCCAGCGGACTTCTCCAACGATGCTCCGCCGATTGAAATACCATTCGGGTATGCTATGATGTGCAGCAGGAACCTGGCGCACGCAGGTGCGAGAACTGGTCCAGACCAGCCTCCGGATGGAAGGCCACGGATCCACGTCTACTGCATGGACAAGACCGGCAGTACCTTCCCCGTCAGGCACGAGAAAAACTGGCTGCTGTCTGGCCCAGCCAGGGCCATCAAAGTGCCACACCAGCTCCTCCCTTAAGAGTAAGCCTATCAAGGCGGACCTCGCCGTCGCGCACTATATCGAGACGGACCCCACTCGGCTGGGGTAGCTGCCCATTTATAGCCCCCGTTATTCTCTTTATTTGCCCGTTCATATTTATCTGCATTTATTTAGATATTTATTTCCTATTTATTTCCTATTTATGGCGCAAATCTATGTTGGAACCATATGGCGCAAAATCTATGTTGGAACCAAGCCATAAGCCTTGTCGAGGACATGGTGAAAAATGGAGTCGCAAGTCTTGGTTCCATCATGCATTTCGCGAATCTACGTTGGAATCATATGGCGCAAAATCTATGTTGGAACCAAGCAATAAGCCTTGTCGAGGACATGGTGAAAAATGGAGTCGCAAGTCTTGGTTCCATCATGTATTTCGCGTCGAAGTCTTGGTTCCATCATCTATTTCATAAACTTTCTACGCGCACTAAGTAATGGGCGTGCGGGTTTTTAATCACCAGGGTATGGAGATGATCAAAGTGTCCATTGAGTGGTATTGGTTCAGGTAGCGTCGACAAACCCGCATTAGATTGTTTCCATCATAGGCATGAATATTGGTTCCATCATGCTTTTCTCGACCACTTGGTTCCATCATACGATTAATCTATCCGATTGGTTCCATCTTAGCAATCGCCCTTGCTTTTAATTCCCCTAATATTTTAGGGCCTGTTGTTGTCCAGTCTGTCGAGCAGAGCCGAGTCGAGTGGTTCTCCAAGCTGTGCCAGTTGACGATGGCAAATTCCCGGGACTCTTTTACCTGCACGAGCAGATGCGTTTTGTCTCTCTCAAATATGAGGCATTCTTCATCTACCAGTACGAACAAGATTACGCATGATCCCAAAACCCGAAACTGATGAATGTCGCCCTGTGCGCATCGCAGGCGCCTCCCATGCGCATTAGTCAAAGAAGCCTTTTGATTGAACCAGCCATCCATGACCTGGAGTGTCAGCTTAGTGGAGTCCCCTGCGTACAAATCAATGCAATGCGTGTTGAGTTGTACGCAGCGTCCCATGCCTTCGAAACCTATTTTTAAGTCGTCCGACTCCTGGTGTACGCATGAGAACTCGTTTTTCAGGTCTTTTATTAAGTCAGCCGGTATAGCTGCAGCAATTGCGCCTTGGTCAGTTTCACCTGCTTTGCAAAATTCTCTCAATTTATCTGCTGCGGCTAAACCGGCAGTCGAAATCATCCTAATAGAAGACTCAATTGTTTCCGGAGCACAAAAAGGGTCTTCTACTAGCATGAGTTCTTCTGCCGGTTTTGATTCCGCATGATGATCCATGTCATCCACATAATCCAAATCCGTGCTACCGCCATCCATAAAGTCAAATGAATCCCGATGCTCGACAATTGAATCCGGATGCTCGACAATTGCTAGTGCGCCGGCATCCGCGTGAAGTGACCCTGCTTCTGCTGGTGCATCATCTGCTGATGCATCTGCTCCTGGTTCCAAAGCCGGAGCCGGAGCTGGAGCCGGAGCCGGAGCCGGAGCCAGAGCCTGAACCGGAGCCGGAGCCGGAGCCAGAGCCGGAGCCGGAGCCACAACCGGAACCTGAGTAGATCTCCTTGCCCCATCTGCTCCGGGTGCATCTGCTCCGGGTGCATCTGCTGCGGTCGCATCGGCTACGGGTTCATCATCTCCTGCGGGTTCATCATCTGCCGCGGGCGCATCTGCTGCGGGTGCATCTGCTGCTGCTGCGTCGGCTGCATCGGCTGATGCTAGAAAGTTTTCCCAGTTTTGCGGTAGCAATGGTTCCAGTCGCTCCCATAAGCCGCCATCGTTGCCCTGGGCACGAAAAATTGGGAGAAAAATTCGTAGAGGTGCATGTTTGAGCTCCGCAGCCCAGCTGGTCGGGTCATAATGTTTCATTTCGAATTCATTCAAGCCCGCACCTGCAAGGTGCTTCATCATTATCATCATCATGTCGTACTCTTCCGTCTTGCGGTCGTATTTATCGAAAAGGAATTCATATAATTCGTTGGCTTCTTGAGGTTCATCTTGGTTATCCTCCATGATCATAAAGTTAGCGGACTGGCGCTGCTTTTGCGAATAAAGATGAAAACTGTCTCTCGGATTCAGCAGTTGCTCGGGCCTCGGAGCCGGAGCCGGCTCGGGTGCAGGAGCAGGTTCGGGCTCTGGCTCAGGTTCGGGAGGAGGAGCAGATGCTGGTTCCGGTGCAGGCCCGGGTGCAGGAGCAGCTTCGGGCTCTGGCACAGGTTCAAGAGCAGGAGCAGGTGCTGGCTCGAGCATCGGCACGCCTAGGTCGGCAAGTGATTTTTTCAAACGATCTTGCAGATCATCGCGAGTTTCAGGTGTTGTGACTCCTAGTGCGTTAGCTGCGTGTAGCTCTCCGATAATGTAACCCAGTTTCGGATTAATTCCTGAAAAGAAACCACTGTGTGTAACAAAGGCAGCCGGTCGAAAGCCGACGGCGTATAAAGGGTTGGGTTAGGTTCGACCACGTGCCAGCTGTCCAACATGGTCAGCTTGTTCGGGTCAAGTCCGCCCGGGGTCTTTTTCTTCCACGTGATGTAAATCCCCCAATTGTCGTCCTGCGCGGTGATAGCGGTCACGCGGCATTCTTTTACGACCTCGTGGAGCGTCGCGAGCAGCACGTCGCCTTCCGCCACGTCGCGCCACTTCCGCGTGCGTTCGTCCGCCAGCGGCTTCCTCTGATTCGAGAACTTCTCCGGCGTAATGGCGGGTTGCGTCGCCATAGTGTGTCGCTAACTCGGCTTAGCGAGGCCTAGAAACGCCTAGAAACGCCTATGAACGCCTATAAACGACTATAATCGCCTAGGGCGGCTTAGATATATCTACTGAGTTATATCTGCGCAGCACTTAAGACAGGACGCAAGCATGGGCGAGACATGTTCGTAGACAGCGCCAGCAGCGACGAAGACGGCGCGTCCGAGGGCAGCGAATACTCCGCCGCTGCGGCGGCCGACGATTGGTTCGATGGTTCGAGCGAAAGCGACGACGATAGCAGCGCCAGCGAACGCGGGAGCGAGAGCGACAGTGCCGCGGGCGCGAGCGACGACGACGAAGACAGCGCAAGCCAAAGTAGCTCATCTTCAGGGCAGCCCGCAGCCGCGCTGACAGAAGAATCGATTCCCTGGGCAGTCGCGCTAGCCAGCGAACTTCCTGGGCAGCAGCACGGATCGGCGAAGCGCCGCTGCCTCGTTCCCCGGGACCTGTACAAAGGGCTCGCAGACGTGATCGACGTGCTGCGTGCAGGAGGCCCTAAAGAGCTTAACCAACAACTTAAAGAGCTGTACGCACGCGGCAAAAGGCTGCAAGGCCAAGCGCGGGACAACAACGATGCCGAAGATCGGATGGCACATGAGGTCTACGGACGCGTAAAAGAGGCAAACTTAAACATGCCTGTCCTTGGAATGGAAGTGCTTGAGAATGTGCGACTGCTGCGCGAGCACACTGGCCTACATGACTGCGAAATAACGCGCCTTAAGAATGTCGCCGCGTACCTCGTGGACGACGCCATGCTAAATCGGGCAGACGGCACGATTGGAAATTTAATAGAACTAACTGGGCTCTCGGCAACAATGCTAAGAAACGGAGCTGACAGGAGAGAAGCATTCTTCGAGCAACCGCCGGACAACACGGAGACGCCTCACAGAGGTAGGGTCCGCATTCCGTTGCACGACCTTGTATCTGCGTGGAAGGAGATGCACTTCTGTGAATTGCTGGAACTAGACAAGGACTATCAAGCAAGCTACACCAAGAAGAAGTTTAAGACTGATGGGAAAAATCTGGTTTGCATCAAGTGCCAGAAGAAGGTTCTGATGGGCACCAAGGGCGACGTGGTCAAGTGGTACCAAGACCGACACCCGAACTCGCTCATCTCTACTGCAACGCTCAGGAAGCTCGTGTGCCCATGCATGCGCCCCAGCTCGGGCAACGACTGCGCCTGTCCAATCTGCTGGGAGATCGTCTACATCATTAAAGCCCTGCGGGAATCCTTCAGGCAAAAGGGTGACATATGCGACTGTGAGGCATGCAAACCCGGCTCGGCATGGCGCGCGGCAATACAAAGCCCGCATGCTTTAAGGCTTGCACTGTCACCGTGCGGCAAGGAGACCTGCCCTGGATTTCAGCTCCCCAAGGAGAAGGAGCCGCCTGAATTCTACATGTTCACCTGCGCCGTGGAGAAACAACCGCCGAAAGGCGCCGACAAAGTCCTCCCTGAGCTTCACAGGAAATGCACACAGTGCACTTATGGCTACCAGATGGTGATGCCAAAGGAAGGCAAGTGCAAACGACTGACATTGCCGCTCACGTACCATTCAAAACAAGAGGTCAACGCGGCCCCGAGAGTCGATAAGTGCTTTGCGGACAAGTTCGTAAAAGTTCCGTCCACGTATGGTGAGATCAGCAACAAGTTGGCAG